TAATTGAAGATGTTTGTTGCAGGACTTGCAGTTCCCACCAAGATTTCTTTCCAGTCATTTAACAAATTTTAGTTTCTTTTTATATGCAGGGAGATTTGTGGTTCTGAGTTTACCAATATTCATTTATCAATGAGGATCCTTATTTTTTAATGCAATTTTTGTGAAATCTTACAGTGCCTCAAAATTAAATCTAATCTAACTTGCTTTCCAATTTCAGTATATTCCCATCTGTTTGTTTACCTGAAGTCTCATCCGGATCATCTTCCTCCTCTTCCTCGCTTATAGTTCGTGTCCCCTCAATGCCCCTATCTTTGGAAGGTTGTGCTCTGCGATCAGGTTTTCTTTTATCATTGTCTTCGTCTTCCTCACTTGATCCACTTGAATCTAAAATTAAGATTTAGAGAAATAATCACTACCTTACATAAAACTAATATTTCCTGTTAATTTATTTTTTACAGCACCATGACTCTTACCTGTGAAGGAGAAGGAACCAATACTCTCATTTTCAGAGGATTGCTCAGACTGACTGCTACCATCAGATATTCTGTCTTGCAAACGTTTCCGTGCCACACTCCTGCTTTGCCGACTTGGAAGTTTCTTTACTGGTGTCTTTTTCTCACTCCTTGGCAGTGGACGTGGTTTTTTATTTCCTATCTGAGCAGACACCTTAGAAGACTTCTTATCTTTCTCTCTCTCCTCAATGGTCATGTTAGAAGGTATTTGCACTGTAAACAAGATATTACCAACTAATTTGTGTCATAATCAATTTGCCAAAGAGAAATTTAAAAAATTGCTTACCACCCAGACTCTTCAAAAGTTCATCATTTTGATTTAAATTTTTAAGTCTCATTGCTTGGTATGGTGTTAGCCTTGTTGCCTCCAGCGAGCAATCTCCTGCAAAACAATAATGATTAGTGTTTCCATTTTTTTTTGTTTATTAACAGGTGGACATAAGCACTCCAAATGAACCTGTTCAGTAATATGTATAATAAATTAATATACTTTATTTGGTTACAGATGACTGACAACTTTGGAATTGGATTTAGCTACACAAGATTGCATAAACCCCATTTATAATTACAAGTGGAAGTAATCTAGAGGACCACCTAACGCCTGCTACTTCCCCACAGGCAATTATCACTCTAATGGAACCAATCTCAGTTAAAAAGTAGTGTCATTTGCATCTATTTAGTACAGCATAATGTTTTAGTTACAAACCTTTGTTCTGTTTAGTTTTATCTACCAGACTTGGTTTTGGTAGTCCTATTCTAAGTGAAGGTTGCTTCACCTTTTCAGTTGCTGTTAGAAAGATCAACAATGTTTAGTTCGCAACCAAAATTTGACAAGGGTTGTGTTAATCAGATCGCAGATACTTACTTGGTTTGGAAACATCTGCCTCTGGCTGGATAACATTTATGTGAGACTGTTTCCTCTTTGGACTTGGAAGAGAAAGGCCTTGCTTGCCTCCTTCTAAGACAGCTGTTCCAGTAAATTGCTCATCTAAGATAAGAAATGTTCACAACTTGTTAATTCTAATTTTATCCAATCTAAAAGTATTTAAGACATAACAAAATATTGTTTGTAACAACAATATTCCAGTATCAAAACAAGCTAAATATGCTTTAAGTACTTTCACTTTTAAGTCAACAAGTAGCTTCAAGTTAAGTAGTTTACCTTTCAGAATGTTCCGCCGTACATCTCTTTTGCTGCCAATACCACTTGGCTGTTGTAGGGTAACACCTCCCTCTGACACAGTTGTTGCAGTAAATTGTAGATCTATAAGGAAAGGGAAAATTGGTTAACACTGTTTTTTCATACTTGCATTGCAGCTCTAATGGTAACTTGGCTACACTAGTTCTCCTCCAGTCTACTGCCAAAGTTTCAATCTCAGCTATTAGTTTCCAGAACAGAATGGCCTTTGTTCTTGTCCATCAAGCACATCACGATAAGCTAAGTATTCATCAAGTATTTTTTATTTGGTGTCAGTAAATATTAGCTCTGAGTTAGTTAATTTACCTTTTAAAATGTTCCGCCTTACATTTGATTTGGTTTTTAATTTAGGTCTGGCATAGACCTCTTCATTTTCTTTACCCGTTGTATTTGCCATAGGACCTGGTGAAATTTCAGAGCGTTACATCCTTAAACAGTGCACATTGAGTTCAGATTTAAAATGTAATGTTGCTTTATGATACAATTTGGTTACTTACTTGTATTACAATCTGATGTCGATGGGTAACTCACTAAACCAAAGGGTTTCGGCTTTTTACATGTGGCATTTGGGTCTTCATATTCTGATGTAGTGACTTGACTCTTCGGCTTTTCACATTCTGATGTGGTGACTGGACTGTTGGGCTTTCCACATTCTGCTGTTCCAACTTCTGCAAATAGAAGAACACATTTTTATCTCTTTACTTTCTATTCCATTCAAAAATTTGTTTTAAATGAATGTAACATACCTTCCAAATAATCGGCATTTAAAACTCCATTCTCTGATGGAGTGTAGTCGGACACATCAGAGTCATACCCCTCTCTCTCATTTCCAGGCCTGGCCCTCTCTGAGTTGACTGTAAAATAGTCAACAATGATGATAAAGTGGTTGTTGATGTTAATCTTAACCATTTGATTTGAATTTTTTTACCTTCTCCACTTAAAGTATGGGTGGCCCACAATGTCTTCTCCTTAGTTTGCTTTAAGGGGAAGTGTAATACTTTGTAAACCTAATAATTAGAACCCAACTGACATTGAATTTAATTGAATCAATAATACTGTTATACTTAGTTAATGAATCAAAACTATAACTTTCGCAACTCTAGCCGATCAAAGTTGTCTTATACGGTTGTCAGTTCGGCTCTAATTCTTAGGTTTCAAAGTATTACATTTCCCCTTTCTGGATAACTTGAGTCCTAACAATAATTGCAACATGTCTCAGAGAATTCTGTCTAAAAAGCAAACTAAGTAGAAGACATTGTGGGAGCACCCATGTATCTACTTCTTGAAAATACACCAAGCAGTCTTTCAGTAATTTTAACTAACCTGTTCGATCTGCTCGTTGCGGTGGACTCGGTGGACGCGGTGGATGAGGTGTACGCGGTGGAGCAAAATTGCATTTTCCTACCATTATCCTTGATCTTTTAGACATCTTTGTTGTTCTCAAATGCAAACAATAATATTTACAGCCGAGTAGACGGGTCAATGACCTGAACTTCACCTGGCCTAAGCCTACGCCCACCTTCGGATGGTTTGCACAGTCCTGCCAACCGTGTTTTGTTTAGTCAGATAACTTCATCAGAGCTTTCCATTGAAAGGGCTTAAATGGGGTGTTTTCAAATTGAGCCGAGCGTAGTTAACATGTTTGGTCCTTATACTCTCCAGAAAATGCAGAAAGTATAATAATTTTCGATATTTCTTAGTTTTTGATCAACCGTTGCAAGCACTAGGGGACGCTCTTGGTTTTGGCGGGATCACGATCACGAGCTGTCCTGTCAGTTAAGCTTGCCTCTGTAACTGCTAATTCCCTTTCGTCTCTATTTCCTCTACTTTGTTGTGAGATAATATTTCAAGGTAATTCTCCTACAAATTTTCGGATATCCCGTCTCCAGCCACCCCCATCTCTTCAAATACAGGACTGTTCCTTAAAGTTTTAGTGTTATCACTTTATGCATTACTTTCTTACATTCAGGGTTAAGTTTCAGTTTCCATTTAACTCTTTTAACATTCAAATCTTTGTAGAAAGTTGCTAATTTTGTGTTCAAAATAACTGCAGAAAATCAGAAATGCATGTGCAGGCTGTGCGTACTAGTTAATTTTGGTCAGGGCTTTCATTTGAAGTGTTATTTTCCATATCATATCTTTGCTTATCTCTTTCAGATGCAAGCTGCTATGGATGAAGCGAGTTCTAGGGATTTGAAAGCTTGTCTATTAGAAACAAGTACAATGCTCTGGTCAGCTCTCAAGAGGTAAGTGACGTGGCGCTCCCAAAAGTGTCTTGCCGTCTATCTGTCTTCCCAACCCATTCTTTTAAAAAGAAAAGCCCTATTTCCTCGGGGAGCAAGTGTTCCTTAAAACAGATGTATTACACTATTGCATCAAGTCCACCAGATCCATCAAACTTATTATTTTTACGTAGGGATATTTTAATTTGGAATGAATAATTTGAGTAAATTGTACAGGCTTTGCCTCATTACAAATCAGTAGATATATGTATACAGGACTTGGTTCACTAGTCTCTCACTACCTCAAAGAACTTGTTTTAAAACACAGCTTTGTTATTCGTTATTTTTTTCAAGATTAGTAGACTGTAAGATAACATATCTATCTAGCATAAGAATACCCTTGTCAACAATATGTTGGCTTTTTGCTCTAGCCTAATTCAGACTAAGGCATCCATTCATACTATATTTTCGGAATGTTCTTTTAGGATTGATGATCTTTTGGAGGAGCAGCAGCAGCAGCAGCACAAAGTCGATTTGGATGAAACTTTCTACGAACCTGCTGAAAGGCAGGCTGCTGCTGGCAAGATGTTTGAACTGTAAGTATCACTGTTAAGTTGATGGCAAGGTTTCACCATATCAAAAAATATAGCAATTTGAGGGGGAAATGCTTGATAATCAGTCTGGTATACTTTCTTATTTTTAATCTGAAGTTATTTCTATAAAAGCTGTTTAGGTATATGGCGTGGAAAGGAATTTGAGGGTAATCAAACACATTTCATGGACATATCCCTTGGTAAATTATTAGTTTTGATGATGAGGTGAAAGAACCATCACTATCCTCTAAATATCAATGTGAAAGTATTCCAGATTAATTGACTGAAGAAAAAGCAAGCATTTCTCCCCATATGTTGGGTTTTTCAATAGTGTCAAACAAAAATGTTTTTTGTTTTGTTTTACTATACTGAAAAACCCTACAATTTTGGAGAAATGCATACTTTTTATTTCGTCAATCAGTTAGGAATACTTTTATTCTGTTATTCAGAAGATTGTTTTATAAAAGTTATACAGGGAGGGCGAGAGTAAAATCATATCAGCAATAAGAAAAATATAATTGTCGAACAAAAATCCTTCTATCTTTTCTATCCTTTCTATCTGTGTAACCATCATAGTACATTTACTTTTTCTTTCATAGTGACCAAGAGGAATTAAGTCAGGGGGATGACCCGTCAGATGGCTGCATCAGGGGAGCAAATGAACACAGTAAGTACAACCACTTAAATACTTCCTATTATAATCCTTTTGTATTTCTTCTGAAAGATTCAGTAAAACTATAAGTGTCAAGTTCAGAAGTTGATCAACTGTGACCAACTAACTGAGCTTTTCTTTCAACTATCCAATCTTTTAGTTTTAATGTTTGGTTTATTTGTTTTAACAGATGCTAATGGTGCCGAAGAGGAGCTGAGCCAGATGGACGTCTCGTCTGATTGGTCAGAGGGGTCTGAGGGTGAACACAGTAAGTGCAACCACTTAAATAATTCCTATTATATTTCTTTTGCATCTCTATTTCTTCTTAAATATTCAGTAAAACTATAAGTGTCAAGTTGAGAAGTTGATCAACTTTAAACACACAACTGAGCTTTTCTTTTAACTACCCAAAATTTGTGTTTCAATGGTTTGTTTTATTTGTTTCAACAGATGCTAGCTCAACTCCTGAAAAACATGTTTGCAGGCTACCTAGGTGTTGGGAGCACCAGCCTTTTAGAGGAACGGTAATATGTCAATCTAATTGTTATACTTCCAAATATGCATACGTGAAGCTGCCTTTGGAGTTGTCACAAAATAATGTATCAATATTCTTTTCAGGACCGAGAAATTGCCGGCCTCCCTAAAGAGGAAAAGCGGTTGCGCTCCAAGGAGCCCGCCTACACCCCTAAAGGTACTGATAATACTGTTAGATAATATCTGTAATGTCTAAGTATGTTCAAAATTTACCTGTTTTTTTTTTTTTCTTTGCTTTAGGATTTTGGAGTCTGGACATGTAACTGTAAATGTAACATGGACTTGTAAATTTAAATTAAATATGCATGTAACTTTTTGCAAGCATTTATTCATTATGTCTATCCTCCTCCTGTTCTTTATTGCATTCTTCATAAATACCAGATTATTCAGAAAAGGTAACAGGGCAAAATTTGTTTCTACTAGAAATCTTACTGATGTCAAAATTGCATCTGGTTCAAGGAAATAGTACAAGCAGATAAATACATGTGCATCACCTTTTCTTGAGCTCCTTACAAATCTTGCATCCACAGCGTTGCAGGATCACTTCTACTTTCTTTCTTCTTTGAAGTGATGACAATTGTGCTGTGTGCCAACTAATTACACCTGCAAAAACAGGATTTCTACAGTAAAATTTGCAGTAAAATAATGTACTAAAGACACCACGCTAAACTTATCTTTGTACTCACATACCTTATTTGGCCTTCACTCTTAGGACTATTTGTCCCACCTTCGTTCTTCCAAATGGGCTACCGTACCAGAAGAACATCATCACATTCTGGAAGCCTGGGCGGCCAATTTACTGATTCAGGAGAAGACGGATACTGTCAGTAGCAATACCTGAAACATAATTTTACAAAGTGAATAATCATTGCAACATGAAACACCAAACTTCTCACACTGTCAAGGCAGGCAAAGCGGCAAAGTAACCAATCCGAGGTAGCTATAAACTAAACTTTATAGATTAAAGGGTAACTTTAAGATCTTTGTAGTACAAATATGTAAAATAAATTTTAAAATGAATGGATCATCATGCTTTTGAGTGAGGGCAAATGAGTACACATAGAGCAAAAAGCAGACAACACAATGACAGTACACTTGGGACAAACCAACGCTATTTCATTAATTAATTTTCATTATATACCGAACTTGGCACACAATGTAGAGGCAATACTATGAATAGCTTCTTACCTCTAGCCCATAGAAGTATCAAAGATGGATAGATGGCTTTTTATTATTTATTATTATCGTTTTGTGATTTATTATTATCGTTTTGTGAAGTCTCAAACGGCATTGCCACACGAGACAGACGACGCACAGGTCTAGCAGCCGAAGGACACGAGAGACTATAGCTGTATACATATGAAAAATATTACGCTGCTCAATCGAAATTTCCCATACGCAAGACAGCTTGTTGCCTACGATCCCCACGATCAGATTTAGGCAGGCGCAGGGGGTTTCTGCTAACGTTCTATGTTGTTTTTTTTTGTTTGTTTGTGTGTACGTTTAGTTCACCGATCTTTAGTGTGAAGGAGCTGGAAACTGTCTGTGAAGCAGTGTTCATCACTGTGATGGCCACCTGTTGGAAAGTGCACCTAGAACTTACTATCTAATAATGACAACATATGCAGATTGCTTCCAACAAGAAGAGATCTTTACGGGATCTACTACTTGTCAAATGCTGGGTTTGTTGGTTGGTGGCAGTCCACCCCCCACATCCTCTCCACAGAGTCCACAGGTATGAAAGACAGAGTAACCTTTTAGAAAAAGAGTCAAAGTTATAACAGAACAACA